ACTAGTTCAGAGGACCCTGTGAAGACCAGTTAGTCTGTACAGTACTCTTGACATGCTCTCTGCTTATCTCCTGGTATTAGGGGCAGAGTTGGCATTTGGATCCTGTTGAACTCAAGAAGTAAGCCTGCCAATAGGACGAGCATCGCCCAGCTTTTGATTTGCCCTACTCTGCCTTCTTAGCAGGGGTGCATGCCTTCACAACAGCTGGAGCCACTGTCAGGCAGCACGTACCAAACTGGCTATAGACTGATGGGTGGCAGCAGGGATGTGGCAAGCTTCCAGGTAGCAATGACCTCAGTACCTCCAAAAACACAGGGAGCTTTCGTATCAAGGGGCTGCTGCTTGTGTGGAGATTGTGCTGCTCTCAGGTAAGCGCTGCCTGCAGTTTTTCAGCTGCAGTGAGTTGTCCCGGGCCACCAGCACAATTTTTGCAGCATTCTTGATTCAGTTCTATTCCCTAGTATGGGAAATCAGTCTGAATGGGTAGGACTAGATAGCTGCTTACCGCTAAACCCTTCTGTCCTACTCCTTCTATTGGCACAGCTTCAGCTGCAGCTGCCAAGACTGCTGGGCAGAACAGCTGACTGCTAAAACAAAAGCCGCACAGCAGCAAGGCCTCATCAATCCCCCCCAGCCTTTGCATATTAACAACTGTCAGTATCATGGGGTTGAACACTGTTTCTTTTATGCTGTTGACAACAGCTTGAAGTGGTACTGCCTTGCCAAAATGATCAATCAGAGGGTGACGAGAGACTAGTCAAGATTAAAATCTGTGAGTTCCAGTTGCTTTCAGCTGACTGCTGCTTCCCTCTCATCATGCCCTGTGAGAAAAGTCTCAGCAGCAGCAAGACAAAACGTGCTAGAATATCTTCCCAGGTGCTGAGTGCTTTGTCTTTAAAATACAAAGGAATAATCTCAAGCATATGTTTGTAACTGCTCTGGTTTGCACAAAGAAGCATCTGGCTGCGTGCAACAGAGCTTCCACGAAATGCCTATTCTGCAGCTGTTGCTGTGGAAAATGACACGCTGCCTGTGTCAAGTCTGTAGGGAACAAATATGTAATTCTAGCTATTGCACAGTATCGTTTGCAGGAATTGGTCTGTCTGTTGCTTTTTGTATCCGTTTGCAATGGAGAGAAAAGCGGAATCAAGACCATGCAGTGACAGGAATTAATAGCTGAACTAAGAATTGGGAAACTTGATAGTGGTGCGGGAACGATATGTGGAAGCTTTGCCAGGGAGATGATGGTCATCACGTACTAGTCTGACTGCCAGAAGGCTCCTATGTTGGCTTGCTACCTGGGTCCTCCTTCGCTCAAATTGGCTCATGCCACTTGGATAATGACACTACCCAATTCTGCGCAGAACTGTTGCTATTTTAACATTGGGCTGACGTACTGACACCAGGCTGAGTGTTGCTGGTAGCTTGGAGCAGTGTCCCTGCCAGCTGCCGCTGAGCTGCCTTACACATCAGGCACACGTGTGCACGTGGAAAAGGAAGGTGGAATCTGGCAGAACGGTGGCCGCAAAAACAACCCGTGCTTGCAAAGAGAGAAGAGTACTGGTGTCGGCAACATGAATCCCATGGTGAGATGACAGATGCAATTGCCTTGGCTGCACAATAGTCTTGACATGGGATCAAGGGAAAGAATGCAACAAAATAAAGCAACCAAATTTACCGCAGAAGGGATTTGAGCAAATTTCTGAACCTATTGGAAGCAGAGGTAATACTATTTTTAATCTGCTTGAAGTGAATTGCTATTCCTAACAGGATTTTCAAATAGCAAATACTTTGAGATTGTTACTCTAGGTGGTGCTACCGAATTAATATAGAATACATGCTCTCTGACTTGCATGGGCCTGCTGCATGCAAGTTGACTGCCAGGTACTATTCTTTGCCACCAACGGTGTCCTTCACTTCAAAATAAAATGCCACCTTCATGTTGTGCATCACGGACTAATCTTTTGTTTTCAGCTCCTTTGATCTCTGAAACAACAGAGAGTAATATTACTTCCTCTATTTCATTCTTTTTATAAAATGCTCTGTACTTCTATTGTATTGGAAGGATTGGATATGCCTGTTTGACATGTGAGAACCCAGTGTACAACCCACACCAAACGCTGTGCATGTATGTTTGAACACTACCATAGCTTTCAGAAGAGCATTTGAAACTAATAAAGTGTAGGGAAGGAGACTTCCACAAGATGTGTGGATTGGCTTTAGAAGCTGAAATCAGAAGATTAACACTTGATTGCTCATAGGTATGTTTCACAGTAGCTTTCCTTCCTTTTCAACAGCATCATTTCTGAAAGAACTGAAGGAAAATTCCTTTTTTCTTTAGTGCTCCTCTAGTAGTATATGTGAGCTCTTCTCTCCTGAATGTTTCTGCTAACAGTAAGAGTGTGCGCATATGCATAGATCAACTACCACAGTCTGTCACGAACCTAAGCGATTGAGTTTGCATGATACTTGCATGGAATGAGGAAAAGCAGAAAAATAGTTACTTCCATGGGGTCAGAATTTCAGTGGTGTTCAGCTGGGAGAGAGCAGGTCCAACAGTGGGGCAAGAAGGATTATGTAGGCGTGCCTCTGGCTGAAAGCACGATGATTGTTCGCATTTGCCAGTACCTGAAATCACTTATTCCAAGGTGGAACTCATACTGTTGTGGCCTCTAGGGTACAAACTATCAATATTCTTGCTTTAGATTCGCCACGCTCTTAGCGTTCTAACACTGTCTGAATAGTTACCAGGGTGGTGCTTAAACTGGAAATGTTAAGACCAAAGCTTTTTTCAGTCATGCTGCAGTTACAGTTAAAGCTGAGCTCTAAGAGGAAAACAGCCTGTTCTGTCTAAAGTGTCCTGCACCTCTGCTGTTTGCTTCCACAGGTGGGATTTTGAAGAAAAGTGCGAAGCTCTTTTTCCGCCGGCGACATCATCAGAAGGATCCCGGAATGAGTCAGTCACACAATGATCTTGTCTACCTGCAGCAGCCCCTGTCAGAGGAAACACGCAAGAAGGGAGGCACACTTTCACGTATTCTAAACAGAAAGCTCCTTTCCAAAAACAAAAGCAAGAACAAACTGAATGGTGCTTCAGCAGAACCATATGTATGAGACAGAACACTCTCTGGTGGGATACTTGCACATCAGTTGATCAGTTGTTTACAGAGCAGTACTAAATACAAATGCAGCTGATGACTTGCATAAAATAATGTTCACTAATACAGTGGTCCAGGAATAAACAGAAAGCTTGTCTTTTTTGTTTATTTTTCCAGAACACTTTTTCTCTGATTATAAAGTTGCTCCTCCAAATACAAGCAGCACTGGTTGTATCATGACAGCTTTTGGAGGACCGTGTGGTTTATCGTAGAAGATGAGGGAGGATGGGGAATGGTGCAGGTGGGGAGGACCTGTGTGTAAAGCACCTAGTTTACATTAAGGGGGAGCTAAGAACTGAAACATCGTACCTGCTATATATGATTGAACCACTATAAAGAGCGAAGATACCACTGTGCTTCCTTACTGCAGCCTGGAATAGTAGCAACACAAGCCTCAACTTTATTTTCTAGTCAGGCTGAAAGGGAAAAGAAAAACCCAGATCCAGTTTGTATTGTAACTTGGAAATGGGTAGGTTTTCAGAAGCAGAACTAAAATGCTGATTGATAGCCTACTGTAATAACTGTAGCCTGCTGTAATAACTGCTCAGTCCATGTAGGTGAAGAGATGCCTTTGATATTAGCCATAAATCAATAAATTATGCAAATACGTATACTAGCATATTGTTTAATATTCTGTGCATAAGTTATGCTTAAAAAAGAGAACTTTTTTCAAAGTCTACTTGAGTCGACTTGCAAACAAAACATTTCCAAATTCTTACATATAGCTTTTCATCCCTGTGTGAGAAGCTGCATTGCTAATGCAAAAACCTGTTTTAGGGGCTCTAATTCTTTCTCCTAAATACTTGTTAGACAAGAATGTTAACCATCGTATCAAATGCAAAGCTAGGAGCAATAAGTGATGAGTAGAGCATATTTAACCCATAATGCTTTTCATTAGGCAGCTTGTTTTACTTGACAAACACTTACAGAGATCTTAGAAAACACAGTTGTGAAGAGAGCTTTTTAATAAATAATAAAACCAATTCCCTTAGTCATCTTTCAGTTTCTAGATCTGCCACTGTTTTCATGTTGTGAGTGGTTGGTTGAGGTTTTTTTACTTTTTTTTCCTTATTAAATATTGCAGCTGGCTCCTTTAAATTTAAAGGAAAAACTGATGAAAGTAAAGGCATAGTTCTTGTTTTGGCTATTAAGAAGTCAGTATTTGACAGGTACCATCTTTCATGCATACCTGTATTTTTCCATGGTATACATTCCTTTTAGGCCCCAGCCTGTTCTGTTTAGCCAAGAAAAACATCCATTCCATCTAAATTACTGACATGAATGGATGATAGATTTGTGCCTGCTTTGCCAACGCTGATGCCCTTCCCTGCCCCCTGCCTTTCCTCCCCTGAAGACATCTAACACTTTGGCAGATGTTGGGCTTTCAACTTAAACCATTCTTCAAAAATAGAAAGTCACTGAAGAACAGAAACACATTTCAAAACTTCTGATGGACTCTCCATTCCTTGGTAAATACTTTTACAAAGAATATAAAAACACTGGGGAGGTTGGGGTTTTTTTACCAACAAAATATTAGAAGAAATGAACTGCCAAAATCCTTTCACTGAGCCTGCTGCTTAAAAATACCTTTTCTGTGTAACCTCGTAAAATCACTGTGGTAGTACGGCAGTCCAGACTATCAAATAGTTGTGCGTTTAAGCATGCTGCGTATTACGAAAACACTTGAAGGCATTTTAATATTCTGTGTTTTGAAAATTGGTTACAAATGAGTCTTCTGAAGCTGTAATGTGCTTGGAAATCCCAGCTCAGTAATACAGGTTTGTCTAGCTTGGGTGTGCTTGAACACTTTTGTTTGTTGTTAACTTAATACAAAGTAGAAGGTAGTTGTCTTCATTTATTCTACATTAGTTCATGATATGAGTATTAAAAAAAACCTGACATTGTTTTCTCTCAACATACACTTTTCCCCTGGGATTTTAATTTACAGAAGTTTTATCATGTACTGTAGAATGGGGTGGAAATAAGACTGAATAACTTGCAGAATACAGGAGTAGGGTTTTCTTGTAGCTTACCCCAAAGAACAGATACACACTGATGTGGTTTTTGGGTTGCTCTTTCTTAAGGTCTTGGTGATTGCCTAAATGCATGTCTTCGTGGTGGGAATGAGAACATGCTACACTGCAAAATGTGTGAAGGTTTGAGTTCACATGTATTGAGAGTGAATGAATTCTTAAGATGAGGAAAGCAAGGCATTTGGGGTAAAAAGAGAATCTTGTTTTTTAATTGTGTTCATTCCACAGGAAAATGAACAGAATTTGGTTTGATGTTTGACCTCCATATCTGGCTGGTGTGTTCCTTGTCTCTCCCTGCTCTTCTACGAGTATTAATGTCCTGTTGTAAAAACAAGCTAAAGTACTAAATGCAAAGGGAGAATTTAGTTGCTCGGTCATGACAACCCTAGAGGCCCATAATATTGAATCCCATTCTCCACTTCTGAGGTTATTAGGTTGATATTGAAGATCAGGAGATCTGAGTATGTACATTTTTCTGGGTACTAGTATTTACGTCAGCATGAGTTGGGTCCTGACAACCAGTGGGAGCTACGCTACAGGTTTGGGTAGGGAGGACTAGATTTGTAAACTGCTATAACTAACACTGCGACATAGCCTGTCAGGTGCTGCATGTTTCATGTGCAGTTGCGTGAACAACGCCGGAGGGAATAATTCTGGTTTTTTATGTTCTGGAGTCTTCATCATTTTAATAACTACACATTTAAGCAGTAGACCAAATTGCTGCATTATATTACACTGAAAACTTATTGTTTTCTGATTTAATTACTTCAGAACAATAGCTTGGAAATAATCTGTGATATCTTTCTTCCTTTTTTGCACCTTTTCTTACACTTTGGTGTTTCTGGATTTTGTACAGCAAAGAAGGCGTGGTATGTATTTTATGAGGACTAAGAGATGAAGGCTTGCTTTTCCTTTCTAAAGAATTTTTCTTCCCATAATTGAACCTTCTTAATCTGAGTTTGTGGATTGTTTATGGCATTTTAGGTTTTCATTTGCCTTGATGCAGACAATCTGCATCCTTACCTAACCAAGATTTGCCTTGGCTTTAGTGTGGATTTTGACTAAGTAGTACAAGAATTAAATTTCTCTGTGTAGAGTAAAGCAATAAAACTACATAATATCCCAAGTGTGAATACAAGTTGGGTAGCTTTCTTAAAGTGACTGAGATCACTTTAAAATACACTTTAAAGAAGAGGGGGTCCTTTATCCCTAGGTCACTGGTATTTCATATCCAATTGACCCCAGGCAGAAATTACAGTCATTTCATTACCAACAATATATGAAACTTGTGAATCTGAGGTGTCAGAAAGGAGAAGGAATGCTGTAGTGGAAAAAAACTTCATATTCACTTAAAAAGCAAAATACTTTTGGGAAACTTCTTCAACTTAATGGACAGGTCATAAACTGTGCAGGCATAAATACTGGGCTTTATTCTTGTGCTTTGTGTTAGATTTTCTTTTTTCCCTGCTCTTTCTTTGGGAGAGAGGTTGGGGCTCCAGGTCATACAGACCTGTAGTTGCTGTCTTGCTCCTGAGGGGACTTGGCTTACAGCGCTGCTTTTTTCGACGTGTTCTATTGCCTGGCAATGATACCAGTTTTGAGGATCAGTGAAATTTTACAGCATTTCCTGGTACTGTATCTCCTTGCTGGTTCTAGGTGGTTTTCAAGTGAAAGTTTTCTGTTGTGTATTTCTTGTAAAGTTTTTGTGTTCTTGATATGCAAAGTATTATAGGATACTATGCAAAGTCGACTATATAAAATGCTACCAAATGTGTATGGGGAAACAAAGAGTCTTGCTCTTGTTTTAACATCTTTGTCAGCTCTGGTAGCTCTAGGTGTTTGTTACAGGGAGCAAGAGCTCTATACAAGGTGGGAGCCGCGTGGCTTTTTCATTTTAGTTTATTGCAGCTTTTGAATGGTAGAGCTGAAGTTTGAGATAAGTGCTTATCCTGGTACAAAATTAGGTATACCGTAGCTCCAGGCTAAGACATTCCCATTGTGAGTGGGAACAGCTGACCTCATACTTTGACCTCCACAGGACCTAAGTGGATTTATTCATGTGTTTAAAGTCAGCATATGCTTCTGTACACTGCTAAGCTACAGCCTTGGTGACAAACATCTCAAGATTAACTATATAACAAGGGTGATTAAGTTAAGGGTGAATAATATGATTTCACTCAGGATATCCAAACTGCTACTATGCAAGCTGCTGGCAAGGTGCAAAAATAACTGGGAAAGGTGGGTCTGAGGTCTTTCCAATACTGTAACTCTGTATTTCCCAATAATGTATTATGCTCTGATATTGCAGGTGGGATAAAACATTTTTTTTAGCATTCAACTGTGATAGTCACTTCTTCTGTGGTGAGTTTTTTTTTCTTTTTTCTGTGTGTACACAAAATTAAGTTGGTGCAACTAAGAAGTCTATGATGTACAGATTTATTATATCACTAAAAAGCCTGAGAAGAGGATTTTTTAAAGAAATAACTACTGCTGTACATACAATAAAAGCTAATTGTCTCTGTGTAGTGTGCTGTCCTACATACCTAGTCAGCCAAGCATAATAGATGGTTTTCCACTCCACTAATTTGACCTGTTGCTTAACACAGTCCATTTACCTGTTTATTCAGGAGCAGAGTTCTCCACCTACCCTGCGCTGTCACTGTGGGTTGCTTCTGATAACCCTGGCCATATGAGGTAGCCCCTTCTTGTTCCTCAAGAAATTGCCTGAAACATGGACTGGGTGGGAATCTAATGGAAGAAGGAATTGTGGAAGTCATTGTGGTTACTTGTTATTTTTTCTCTCAGTTATGTTGTATTATCCTGAAACCATTTGTAATTTGGGGTGGCAAAGGGAGAGGAGTCTTATGGCCTAGATCCTATATAGAAGACACCAGTACTAAAACGAGCAGAGCCTGGCAATAAG